TTGGTTTCTGGCACATCCCCAGTGGAGAGTGTGCAGGAGACACCTGATCGATGTTTCTCTCTCATCAATGTTTTTAACTCTCTATCCCTCTCCTTCCTCTCTGTAAAAAATCAATAAAATATATATTTTTTAAAATAAAATAATAATAATTCTTTAAATTGGTAATGATTAAGAGCTTTAGCTATAATGGAGTTGATAATCTTAATCACCTATTCCATAACTTTGCAAATTTCTTCTGGAAATGTCTGTGCACAAAGCGCTTCTTGATGAATGATGCAATGGTAAGTAAGTATCTTCTGATCAATTTTTTCTTTCAAAATAGCAACAAACCCATTTCTTATGCTGGTCATACTTTTCAACCTGTCTGATGAAACTGAGACAATTTTATTAAGTGGAATATGATGTTTTTCAATGCGCTCAATTACAGCATTTGGTTTATCCTCTCCACGTGTTTGACCTTTGAGTGGCAATAATCCTAAAAGTTCTTCTTTAGGACCTGTAGGTGAAATAGATCGTACAAAAAGTGAGACTTGTGCTGTATCATTTATGTCACAAGAATTGTCAACTGCTATTGATAAAGCTGAAACCAACTTAAGATCTTCGACTTGCTGGTTGGTTATATTTGAAGACATTTTGATTCTTCTATCTTTCACTGTTTTAGCAGGCAATGGTAATTCTTTAATTTTTTTTAGAATATCTGCTTTGTTCTTAAAAATCCCGAAATAGCTCTTCAAGTACATGTAAAAAACAACTTTTTTTTTATGTATTCTCCGTCTGTATATGGTTTTCCTCTCTTAGCAATCTCTTGACTAACCACAAAACTTGCAATATTAACATTGTTGGAAGATTGCATCCAGTAATTAAATATAGCACTTGATTTTTCTTGATGCTTCAGAAGTTCCTCAACTGCTTTCTTCCTTGCATCACCGACAGGATATTTAGTACTAAATGACACGTGTTTAGTTGTAAAGTGTCTCTCCAAATTTGATTTCTTCTTATGTGCCAATTTTTCCTGACAAATAAGAAAAGTCAGATGGCCATTTAAGTTTTGAATAAACGCGAAAGTCTCGGTCCATTCAACTTTAAATTCACGGTTTTCGTCTTGTGTTTTTCTTTGCTTCTTCTTTGTAGCCATGTCAGACAGGGCACCTAAAAAAACGTTTCATTTTATAATAATAAAAGCCACCAACACAAAATAATTACAATTCTTAAATTGATGACAAAAATACCTGTAGGATTTGCAGCTGGTTGGAAAAATACAGGTAACTTTATGCTTCGAGTAGGTACTTTTGTCACCTGTGCGCGATTTGCGGACTCAACTAGCACTAACCACTGCACAATGAGACTGCTGCCTGACTGGCTCACACAACTGGTGCATGAATCCCGCACGCCTCACCGCACTGCACATTGGGTATCCCGTGGCCCGCCTGCACCTAGTCTCCCATCGCCCCACTGATCGACACCCTCCACTTCTTCTAATGCCACTTCTTCAAAATAGACTTGCCCAGGCTGAAAACCGACTTCTGCACATGAGCCACGAAGGTTCAATCGCACTGTAAGTGCACGAACGAACGTGGTATTTTGTGGAAGAGCCACACTCAAGGGGCCAAGGAGGCGGATGTGGCTCGTGAGCCATGGTTTGCGGACCACTGGCCTAACCTGTTTGGCTCAGTGGATAGAGCCTCGGCCTGAGGACTGAAAGGTCCCAGGTTCAATTTGGGTCAAGGGAATGTACTTGGTTACAGGCACATTCCCCGTAGGAGGTTTGTAGGAGGCAGCTGATTGATGTTTCTCTCTCATCGATGTTTCTAACTCTCTATCCCTCTTCCTTCCTCTCTGTAAAAAATCAATAAAATATATTTTTTAAAAAGTAAATGTTATCTTTTTTTGTAGCTACTTACTCCTTTATTTTAAGTACAGGAATAGCTTTTTTAATCTAAGTGAATATACTAGACAAAAGTTGATTTGAGCCCTAACCGGTTTGGCTCAGTGTATAGAGCTTCGACCTGGGGACTCAAGGGTCCCAGGCTCGATTCCAGTTAAGAGCATGTACCTTGGTCTCAGCCACATACCCAGTAGGTAGTGTGCAGGAGGCAATTGATCGATGTTTCTCTATCATCTGATCGATGTTTCTCTCTCATCGATATTTCTAACTCTTTATCCCTCTCCCTTCTTCTCTATAAAAAAAGCAATAAAATACATTTTTTAAAAAAAAGTTGATTTGACCTTCTTTTCTCTTCCCATAGTAATTCTCTTTTGTTAGAAAGCTTTTCCTCTGTTCACCCAGGAATAGCTCCATGTTTCAGGTGTTGGTTCACATTATGACTTCCAGTGACAGAGGCAGGGTCAGGGGTTCTGTGTGGGCTCCTCAGCAGTTAGGTATGTCGGTCAATGTTTCCCTTTCCTGGCCAGCCTCGCTCTTTTCAGGCTGCAGCTGTCCTCAGGAGTGAGTAGAGCCTCTTCTCCCCTCCAGTGAGAGAGCAGGGCAGATGCTACAGGAAGGAGTGTTCCTGCAGCACGTGTCTGGCATTTTCATTTCCCACTCTTCCCAACCTGCTTATCAGACAAGAGAAATAAAACACTGGGCTACTTGGCCAGTGTCTGCTGTGGTCCCTGTCTCACAAGAAATTCTTCAGTTCTCCATGTCTGGAAGACCTGTGGTGGGAGAGGGATTCCTAGATAGTTATGGAATAGATAACTATCTATTAGATAGATCATTCTCTTTCTCTCTCCCTCTTTTTCTCAATCTCTCTCTCTCTCTCTCTCTCTCTCTCTCTCTCTCTCTCTCCTCCATCTCTACTTTCCTCTTCTGTGTCCTGTGGCAGCAGCTGCTTTGACCTTAGCTCCTTGTAGCCTCACCATAAAAATAAATTCCGCAGCCCCAAGACACAATGCATGCTCTACTCCTCCTCCCTCTCCAGGCTCCTGGTGGGTCTCAGGATGGGCTGGATCCTGGATGAGATGCAAAATAATTGGAGGTTCCTACCCCAGGTTTGGATCATGCTGGAGACATAAAACGGGGGTAGATATTAAATGATATCTACGCTGATACAATGTTTACCTCTGACCCTGCTGTTCATCAGAGCCTGATCTGGACCACAGTCTCTGCAGCCAGTGCTAACTGCATGTGGCCTCGGGACTGTTTTCAGTATCTGGACCACCAGCTGGAATACACTTCTGTTCTCCTTCAGTCTCATTCCTTATCAGGTTCCCTTCATGTATGAAGAACATGGTACCAGTGAGCAGATTTAGTCGGTCTAAATTCATCTCAATGCAGCCTTTATATTTTATTAATGCTGTATTTTACTAGTTATGTTGCACCTTAAACCTATGTTATTACTTGGATATTTCTTACAGCTTATTGAGGAACAAAGCTGAGAGATCAGGAGCAGGAGGAGCACATGGGAAGTATTTCCATAAGCGACATGTTTATAACATTTCATACAGCATAATGAGAGGCTTGATTGGTGTTAATAATCTGAAAAAATACCAGAAGTGTCATGACAACAAAATCTTAAGACCAATGAAAAAAGTGAGTTAAGGTACAGGTGCCTCTTGATTCATTTATTTAACTACCTCTCCTGTTAAAGACATAGCGGCGCCCAGACTGACACAGTCATCTCTCTCTCTCTCTCTCTCTCTCTCTCTCTCTCTCTCTCTCTTCTCTGGCTACTCCGTATGTGATTTTCTCATACTGAATTCAAGATGACTTTGTGTGTTTTCGCCTCTATAACATTGTCCTTGTACCCTTCACTACCCTCAGCCATTTTTAGGCACACATGTTTTGAAATTGCACTGTTCAGCAGAGTCATTACCATTATCATGATCACATTTCACCTGTGCCACTTAACACATGACTTTAGAATTATTTCATACTCTATTAGTGTTCTCCTGAGAAACAGAACCAATATTTTAGATATATCCTTCATATATGAGAAAGAGACTGATTTTCAGGAATTGGCTCATGTGATTATAGAGTTTGACTAGTTCCTGGCCCTGTCTTTTACAAACTGGAGACCCAGGAAAGCTGGTGGTGCAGTTTAGTCCAAGTTCAACAGCTTGAGAACCAGGGTAGTCACTGGTATAAGTCCCAGTCAAACGGCAATAGAAAACCTATACCCCACACAAGCAGGTAGGCAGGAAGCAAAAGGAACACTTTCTTTCTTTCTTCCTCTGCCTCCTTGTTCTGCTCAGACCTTTAATCTAATTTATTGTGACCAAAGATCCAAACGCTATTCTTATCTGGAAACACACTCTCACAGACACACCCAGAAATAATACTTAATCTGGGCAACCAGTGGACAGTCAAGCTGACTCATAAAATTATTCCTCACAATTACTTTCGTGTTTCATGTTTATTATGTCAAGACTATAAAGATTATATGTTAAATGGTATTAGACAACTTTGCCCATCAGATGATACATCATGTAGTCTGATCTGTGCAGTCCATTTAGGAAAAGTGTCATCTTGTCCTTATTGAATCCAGGTTCTGAAAGCCAGCATCACGGTGCTACCATCTGTGATCCCCCCCTGGCTGACCACCTGAGGTAACTTCAGGTTTGGGCAGCTGTTCCCTCTCACAGGACGGCCAGGACACAATTTGGCCAGGGTCACTTAGCTTAGCTGGTAGGGACAGGACAGGGGAGAGCTGCCAGGATCACTGCCTCAGGTGGGCCTTCAGGGAGGGTCCTCCCTGTGGTGAAGGAGGTATTTCATTCCCTCCTCATGTCACCTCATCCCTAAGGGAACAAGATGAGGGTGATGTGTGTGACAGTCACAGCTCAGGTCAGCCTACTTCTCCAGAGGATGAATTACTGTGAGAGCCATGAGAACAGCTTCAGGGAGCAGAACTGAGATAGGATTAAGAATGTAGTCACTGGCCTCTCTGAGCTAAGGCACAAAGGGCTGGTATTTCCCTGAGGTCTTTGTGAAGGCCTCTCATTGGTCCATAGATATTTTTCCTTTCCTGCCCCGCCCCTAAGAATTTAACTTTCATTTTCACTCTGCTCCTCCTGCAGCTGGTTTGGAGAGTGAATTACCACCGCGTTTGCCCCTCACGCTGAAACTCCACAAGTGAGTAGGCCTTTTTCCCTGGAAAAATGGGGGTGAGTTTTGCTCTGGTCTCTGTGCGTTGTCTGGGGCGGGGGCTGGGGGGAGGGTAGTTGCTAGTCTTCCAACAACTGTGTCTTTCATTATTGCAGACCTCTGGGCACAAAAAACGAATCCCCTCCCAACCCCACAAACAGAGCCTGGGGCTCAATAGCTGGGGCGGGGCCCTGGGATGGGGTTGGGGTCTAGCATTCCGCAGTCAGCTCTGTGGGCGTGGCTGCAGGAGAGGAATGGGGCGGGCACACCCAGGGCCACTGACTGGTTAGAGAGACTTGCAGCCTCATCTCATAAGGAAGTGGGTGGAGCACCAATGTTGCCTTCATTCCCCAGATCTCAGCCTCAGGTGAGAGTCCAACAGGCTTCCACTCCTCCTGCAGGAGAAGGATTTCCCTTGCACTTGGTCTAGGAACTTCTCAAACCTGCTTTTGCGCAGGTCATGGAGCAAGTCCTGTAAGACTTTTAAGTCCTGTGCACCTGCCCTTTGAAAGAGGGATTTCCTGTACCCTACACCCCTAGGGTTCTCTGGGCACAAGCCTTATTCCTTTTGAAGGCAGACACTCTGTGGGTTCAGGTTTCTGGTGCATGTCCCCAGAGAGCCTCATGTGGGGCACAAAGCCCTAAGTCCTCAAGGATGGGCTTCACATGTATGATATCCTTCCAGCGCAGACACCACTCCTATTCCCGTATCTATCTGCCTGCCTGCTGTGCAGCCCCGGTCACTGCTTAGGTAGTAGCGGGTCAAACTCCATGTGTGAGGACTCAAGCTCCTCTGAACTTTCCTCTTCTGTGTCCTGTGGCAGCAGCTGCTTGGACTTTAGCTCCTTGTAGCCCCACCATAAAAATAAATTCTGCAGCCCCAAGGCAGAAAGCATGCTGTGCTCCTCCCTCCTCTACGGGCTCCTGGTCTCAGGATGGGTTGGATCTTGGATGAGATGCAAAATTTTTGGAGGATCCTACCCCAAGTTTGAATCATGCTGGAGTCATAAACCAGGGATAGATACTAAATGATATCTATCCTGATACAATGTCTATCCCTGATCCTGCAGCCAGGGGCTAACTGCATGTGGCCTCTGGGCTGTTTTCAGTATCTGGACCACCAGCTGGAATACACGTCTGTTCTCCTCCAGCCTCATTCCTCATCAGGTTCCCTTCATGCATGATGACCGTGGCACTAGGAGACAGTGTTAGTGGGTCTAAATTCCTCTCTATGCATCCTTTATAATTTTTCACTTCTGAGAGCAGAGCAAAGGGAAAATTTACTAACTGACACTTCAGGTCTTTCTTTTACCATCAAACTTTGGCAACCATCAAGACGTGAATATCTACTGAGATTTTTTCTTTCCTTATTGCTTCCTATTCCCATTTACTTGAAGTTCCTGAGAGAGCTCCTGATCCTAGACTGTAGCCACGGGCCATACCGAGTCCAGGTGGGAGAAAGAGCATCACTGTGTTACCACTCTGTGATACCCTCTGGTAACTTAAGAAACATTCAAACCTGTGAGGAAGTTTTGTGTGTTTATTTAAGCCAAACTGTCCACAATGGCTGGAAGCAGATTCTCAATGGATTGAGATAATGCTCCAGAGAATGGCAGTTTTGCACCTTGTATTATACATTAGGATCAAAAGAGAAGTGTGTTACATGAAATCCATTGGTGATAGATTGGGGAGGCTGAGGCAGAAGAAAGCAAAGGGGAGGGGATGGAACCTCTGGGATTGGATAAAAAGTAAAATGATAGACACATTCTTCTTTTATTTAGGTGGCTATAGGATAGTTAATAGTCAACAATTAGCTCAATAACAATGAGGGTATTTATGGTCTCCATACAGTGGTGCATGTGCTTTGAGGGGTCCAGAAAAAAGAAAAATTACCTTGACATTCCAGCTATATGTTAATGTAGATGCAAAAGGACACTAGACAGGCTCAGTTAAAGTAAAGATTGACTTTGTCAGGCAAAAAGGCCAGCCTAGGATATGACTAACCACCGAAACTGCTCTATCAGTTTAAAAACGTTTAATTTCAGACCATCCTCTGTGGTTACTTTAGGTCTCTGAATTTGCAAGCTTACCACACAGGCCTTTCCTGAGCTATTCAGGTTAGCATGTAGTCCTTTTTGTCCACACCTCTTTGACTGACCACCAGCATCATTTCCAATTTGGATGGTCATTACCATCTTGTGACCTGTGAGATATAAGCTGTCAGGGTCACTTAGCTGAGCTGAGGATACAGGACAGGAGGCAGGACATGCTGACATTGGCTGCCTTAGGGAAGCTATTAGTGGTGTCTTCACAGTGCTATGGAAGGTCCTTTGTTTCTGTTATCTCAGCCTTTTAAGAAGCCAGACTTAGTAGACTTATGCAAGCCTATAGCTACAGAGTGCAAATTATCTTGTGAAAGCCTGTAGGCCTAGCATCCATGGGCCATAAAGATACAAGGACAGTTATAATAGTAACAATCCCCTTATGAAAAATGAAATTTGAGCATATTAACTGGCATTTGAGGTCTATATAAAATCCTTGTAAATCCAAATGCACTTTCCACATCAGGCTAATTTTGCTATCAACAATCTGCCATTGTAAGGAAGCTGATCTTCCACTTTATTATAACTTCATGAGTTTTCCAGACAAGAATAACAAAAGAACAACTTATTAGAAAACTTATCCAATATTACCTTTCTAGGAAGAAAGAACCCAGGCCTGATGTTAACCTTTTGTTCTCCATAATCTAACATAACTTCCAATCCTTTCTTCTTACCTCATCCTATGTCTTACTCATCACCTGCTTTCCATGTCCTTCATCTTCTTGTCCTGAAAGCTATCGCTCCCCTGGGCAACTGTATGTGCACCCTACTCATCTTCCCAATTCCCCACTGGATCCATCGATTACTCCACAGCCCGACACTGGTGATTACTTTTCCTCTTGGCAAAGTGTTCCTAAACGTTACCTAATTCACTAAGTGCCATAGGTCACTGCAGGCTCATGTGATGCCAAAGGCCTAGCCGTTTTCTCACACGAGCCACCCTGGCATTTTCCATCTCAGACAATGTGGTGCATCTTCAATGAATGGGTCATTTCCTTTACCTAATAATTTTTTTTTTCTCTTCCATATGCCTTATTTCCTTCATCTTCCTCAGGTTTCAGTTCAACCCTTAGGTATTTAAGTCTGAATTGCTGGATAACCCTTTATATGTCCAATTTGATTTCCCAATAACATGCACATCTCTCTAGTAGTGTTTTTCACATCAGCTTGTGCATATATATATATATGACTTAATTTACTGTTACTTTCCAGGTGGATGTCAGGGTCACAGTGGTTTAAACTGTCTGTTTAGACTCATTTCTGTGTTTGTGGGTATTAGTTTAGTTGTCAGCATGTGATTCATAGTGATGAAAATTAGTTGAATGATCTTGCCTATTATTTTGAGATTTCTTTTGCAAGACTGATATTTACTTTATCTGTGTTTCTATTTTTTCAGATATGTGACTTGTGTGATCCTATGAGTATCTTTATGCTATCTCCCTCCCCATCATCAATATGCATACACACCATTAGGCTCCTGTCAATATCCTTGGCATACTTCCAGGCAAACATGAAATTGTACTATTTATCCAACAAGACTCCCCAGAACCTCCTAAGTTCCTATTTTGTCTTTAATTAACCCTGTTAGGGTAGGAAAGGGGACCCTGAATACATTTATGATCATTGCAACTCTGTATTGAAAATAAATGTACTCTGTAAGTCACTCACTAACTTTATGTACACATCTGATAAAGGGTTTGCTCATGCCATTTACACAAACATATTGTTACATATTATCTATACTAATAAAAGGGTAATATGCTAATTAGAACGGATAGACCGGATATCTTCTGGACGTCCTTCCAGACATCCTTCCAAACAAAGGCACTGTGGTCGGGACCAAGGCATAGGTGGTTAGGGGCGATCAGGCTGCCAGGGGAGAGCTGTTGGGGGTGATCAGGCCAGCAGGGGAGAGCACATAGGGGCAATCAGGCAGGCAGTGGAGCAGTTATGGGCATCAGGCAGGCCAGCAGAGTGCTTAGGGGCAATCAGGCAGGCAGGCAAAGTGGTTAGGGGCAATTAGACAGGCAGGCAGAGGATTTAGGGACAATCAGTTAGGCAGGTAAAGTGGTTAGGGGCAATCAGGCAGGTGGCCAAAGTCATTAGGGGCAATCAGGCAGGCAGGCTGAGTGGTTAGGGGTGATCAGGCAGGCAGGCAGATGAGCCGATAAGAGCCAGTGGTCCTGGATTGCAAGAGGGATGTCTGACTGCCGGTTTAGGCATGATACTCAGAGCAGATCTTTCTGATAAAGGAACACAGAAGGAGATTGTTAACTGAAGGATGAAAGTGAGTCCTACTGATACAAGGGAAGCAATGCCTGATGAATGAACAGGTATAAAAGCCCAGACACAATAGTGGTTTGGAGATGTGTTTGGTACAGGAAGGATTAAGTTGGAGAGATGCTGGGTCACCCAAACATCTTTTCTTTGTAAAAAAGGCCTAGGGTCATCCTTTGGTTTAGTAAAAGTAAAGGGCAATAACAACCATTGCACAGATGAAAACGTTAAATAAAAGTATTTAAAATTCTTATGTGCTGGGCTGGAATTTATCAGTGGTTAGAGTGCTGGCCTGTGCATGGAAGTGTCAAGGATACTTACCAGGGTTGCAAGTTTGATCACCACCCAGATTTGGGTACCTGTGGCAGACAATCAATTTATCTGTCTCTCTCACATTCATATGTCTCTCTCTCTTTCTTTCTCTCTCTCTCTCTCTCTCTCTCTCTCTCTCTCTCTCTCTCTCTCTCTCTCCTTCTTTCTTTTCACCTCTCTCCCTTCTGATTTTACATTCTTCTTATTTGAATATTCTTGTTAGAATAATCTGCAAAATGGATGAAAACATAAGAACATACTGAAGCATTGACTTCCCTAAGTGTCCTATGTTGTGACCTCCCATTGTTATTGTTCTGAAGTTTCTGGTCTGCTTCCTTTGTTTCATTTCTACCCCTATGAACTTAACTTTTACTTCTCACTCCGCTTCTGTAGGGGAACTCCTCTGTGGAGAGCTGGTCGCTGCCTTGTGAGTGAATACTGACTAGACTTACAGCAGATCTCCTCCATTGAATTAAAACTCTAGCATATTTCCTAAAAGTAAGTGGGGCAGTTTCTGGGGACAAAGGACAGGAGGCTTTGGGGGAGCAGACTGACTGTGTTTGGTGTCTTAAATTGTGATTCTGAAGCTTCTCTGCTGAGGTGGCAGAAAAGCAGAATACTGTGTCTGGGGGAAGAGTGATCTTTAGAGAAGGGCTATTTAAAAGAGCAGTCTTATTTATTTCTTGGAGGGGCCATTATTTCTCCAGCCTGAGTTACCTCATTTTCTCCTGTTAGGTTAGGTGGCTCAGGAGGCGGCATAAGAAATAAAGAGTCGAGTGAATCAGAAAAGAAAGGAAGGAAGGAAAGTTTATTCTGCATCCCCGGGATACCCAAGTACCCCCAAGGACAGGGCATGTGATTCATGCCAACAGGGAGGGGGGTGCTTTTTTTATACTGTGGTTGGGTGAAGGGCAGGGACATGAGCTGAGGTATTCAGCTGAGGAAGTTTCAGCTGCAGGGGGTCAGCAAGGTATTCAGGAAGGAGTCAGTATCTGTGTCTGGCATGCTGATCTGTTAGAAATGCCAGGGGGAGTCCATTATCTTCTCACAGGTCTGCATGTATCTGATCCTGGGCTCTCTCTCCAACCTAATGTTGTAATGTACCCTGCGAATCACAGAAGGACGCCTCAAGAAGTCGAATTAAAGAGTCACATTTGAAAGGGCGAGGGCTATGCCCTCCATCTTGCCCCGTATCCTCCATGTTGGAGCAGTAGCCATGTACTCAGGAAGGTACCTTCTTCTCGAGGCCCAGGCCTGTGCTGGCCACGCCCGGGATTTCTTTAAACTGACCAATGACAACCAAAGGACGTGCGTGCCATAGCCTGTGTAACAAGACCCGACTTGCGCCTGGTCAATCGGCAGGGCCCACGGTCATCTCTCCTCCCCTCACTCCACCCCCCTATTAAAACCCCATTTTTTCCCATGGTCAGCTCTCTCTCCTCTTGCCTTTGCGTCAGAAGAGGCTGGGAGCCAGACCCAGGTCTGTAATAATAATAAAGGACTCTCTGCTTTTGCATCAGACTTGGCTGGCTCCCTGATGTTCTATTGGGAATCTTGAAATCTGGGCATAACAACACTTATTGCAATCCGGGACTATGAGGGGCCATTCCCAAATCTCATAGCAACCATTTGGTCACAGTTCCAGGATTATATAGGCAAAAAATCATAAAGGTATTGATTACATCTCAGGGTTTGGAATGAGGCACCTGGCTCACAAAAAAGCAGATTACAGAAGCAGAATTAAGCATGTTAATTACAGT